GAGTTGAAGTCCATGAGTCATAAAAGAGCCAAGGTTGCCTACCCCTGGCCTAGACCATTCAGAATAACAGAGCTGGAAGGGACCTTGGAGGTCTTCTAGTCCACCCCCTGCTCAAGCAGGAGTCCCTAGACCAGGGGTAGGCAACCTTGGCTCTTTTATGACTCATGGACTTCAACTCCCAGAATTCCTGAGCCAGCATGGCTCAGCTTGGAAACCTCCCTTTCCCCTCAGCGTGGCTGGCTCAGGAATTCTGGGAGTTGAAGTCCATGAGTCATAAAAGAGCCAGTTACCTACCCCTGGCCTAGACCATTCAGAATAACAGAATAACAGAGCTGGAAGGGACCTTGGAGGTCTTCTAGTCCACCCCCTGCCCGAACAGGAGTCCCTAGACCAGGGGTAGGCAACCTTGGCTCTTTTATGACTCATGGACTTCAACTCCCAGAATTCCTGAGCCAGCATGGCTCAGCTTGGAAACCTCTCCCTTTCCCCTCAGCATGGCTGGCTCAGGAATTCTGGGAGTTGAAGTCCACGAGTCATAAAAGAGCCGAGGACTCTAGGACTAGAAAGCTGAAATTTGATTGCTGAATGTGGCAAAACAGAGAGATAGAGGATGAAAATAAAGAAATACAGGAAAATAAATGGAATGCTTAGTGAATATAGATGGTCCTCAACATACAACCAGTGAGACGGTTGTTCAGGGAGTTTTGCCCCATTTTATGACGTTTCTTGCCATGAAAGTCAGGATCAAAATTCAGACGCTTGGCAAGTGACTCCTATTTATGACGGTCGCAGTGTCCCAGACTCACATGATTCCCCTTTTGCGACCTGACAAGCAAAAGTCAATGGGGGGGGGAGCCAGATTCGCTTAACGACCGTGTCACTAACTTAACAACTGCAAGGATTCATTTCAAGAAAGGACGTCAAATGGGACAAAACTCGCCTCACAGATGCCTCGCTTAGCAACAGAAACTTTGGGGCTCTGTTGTTGTAAGTCGAGGACGACCTGCGCTGCGGTTGTTGTAAGCACAAGGACCAATTTTTCAGCACCGTCGTAACCTCAAACAGGTCGTTAAGTGAGGACCGTCTGTAGTTTGAAAAGATGCAGCCGGATTCCTTCCAATTTCAGGTTTAAATTAGGCACTCGTTTATCCTGAAGCATAATTTGATTTTTTTTTAAATTTCTTATTCCTTTTTTTTTTTCCTCAGTGGAACCTGGATCGTTCTGGAAGTTGGGTCATCCCTCTGGAGCAGATCTGTTTCCTCCTGGGCTTCGCGGCAGGAGCCGTTTTCCTGGGTCACCTGGCCGACAGGTAAGTTGGAAGTTTTGGGATGGGAGTTTTTTAGTTTGTAAACTAAATTGGATTACCCTATTTATCGTTTTAATGTTTCTTTTAATTGGTTTTTTTAACGACTGTAAGCCACCCAGAGGGACCTTCAGATTGGTGGCATATAAATTTAATAAATAATAATAGAGTAGAGTAGAGTAGAATAAAATAAAATAGAATAGAATAGAATAGAATAATATTAATAGAATAGAATAGATATGGAATAGAATGAATAGAGTAGAGTAGAGTAAAATAGAATAGAATAGAATAGAATAGAATAGAATAGAATAGAATAGAATAGAATAGAATATATGGGATCGAATGATAGTAGAACAGATACGAATACAATAGAACAGAATGAAACAGAACAGAATAGAATAGAAAGGGACCTTGGAGGTCTTCTAGTCCAGCCCCTGTTCAAGCAGGAGAACCTATACCATCTCAGACAGGTGAATGTCCAGTCTCTTCTTAAAAGCCTCCAGTGATGGAGCAGCCATAACTTCTGGGAGCAAGCTGTTCCACTGGTTGATTGTCCTCACTGTTAGGAACTTTCTCCTTAATTCCAGGTTGCTTCTCTCCTTGGTCAGTTTCCAACCATTGTTTCTTGTCCTGCCCTCTGATGCTTTGGAGAATAATTTGACCCCCTCTTCTTTGGGGCATGTACTATCATGTCACCTCTATTTCTTCTTTTCTTTACACTAGCCCAGAGGTAGGCAACCTTGGCTCTTTTATGACTCGTGGACTTCAACTCCCAGAATTCCTGAGCCAGCATGGGGGAAGTATGGCTCCCTTGATGACTGGTGGACTTCAACTCCCAGAATTCCTGAGCCAGCATGGCTCAGCTTGAAAACCTCTCCCTTTCCCCTCAGCATGGCTGGCTCAGGAATTCTGGGAGTTGAAGTCCACGAGTCATAAAAGAGCTAAGGTTGCCTACCCCTGGACTAACCAAACCCAAGTCCTGCAGCCATTCTATGTTTTGGTCTCCAGGGCTTGGATCATCTTAGTTGCTCTTCTCTGAATTTTTTACAAACTCTCAACATCTTTTTCATGATATGGTGACCAGGTCCTCGACTTAACAACAGTTCGTTTAGTGACCGTTCAAAGTTACAGCGGCACTCGAGAACATGACTCACGGCCGTTTTTCGACACTTAACGACCGTTGCAGCATCCCCGTGGTCACGTGATCAAAACTTGGGTGCTTGGCAACGGACTCGTATTTACGGCGGGGGTCCCGGGATCCCCTTTTTGCGACCTTCTGACAAGCAAAGTCAAAGAGGGACGCCAGAATCACTTAACCATGTCACTAAACAACTGTCATGATTCACTTAACAACTATAACAAGACAGGTCGTAAAGTGGGGCAAAACCACGTGAATCAGCAATTTGCCTCACAACCGTGGCGAGAGAGAAAACTGGGCGCGTCTCACTTAATGACTGTCTTGTTTATTGCGGTAGTAGGTTGAGGACCGACTTGTAATCTCTCCATTTCTGTTGCTCCTTGCAGTGTAGGACGGCGGAGTACCTTCCTCCTGTCTCTGATTCTCGGCTGTCCAGCAGGCATCCTGGCAGCCTTCGCGGCTTCCCCCTCCATCTTCATACTGGGCCGGTGCCTCTGGGCTACCATGTTGGGAGCTTTACAACTCGCCCTCTACATCACCCGTAAGTATCACGGTGTTCCTAATTTACGAAATGCAGTGATTCCCTTAACAAACGTGGCTGTATGCAGGACGTCCTGTATTCCACTTCTGTTACCCTGCCTGGTTTCTCTCTTTCCTAGGTTTGGAGTTGTGTCGTCCTTCACAACGGCTCCCGGTGGCCATGGCGGGAGACCTCGTCCAGGTGGGAGGACAATTCCTTCTGCTGGGACTGGCGTGGACCTGCGGCAGTTGGCGGGTGCTACAAGGCGTGATCTCAGCCGGAATGGGGGTCTGCCTACTCTATGGGTAAGTTGACTTGCCTTTCTCCACACTGGGCCAGGCCGTGTTGAGGAAGGGGTGCCAGAACCATTCAAACAGGGGTCCCCAACCTGTGGGCTGTGGCCCATTATTGGTCCATGGCCTATTCACAACCGAGCCGGGTGAGTGGCTGGCTGGTGGGCGCACATGCTGGTGCTCCAGGCTTCGCTTGTGCGAGCGACACTGGTGCTTTTGGACCTACTTGTGCAAGCATTAGTGCTTCCGGCCTCACTTGTGCGAGTGTCATTGGGGCTTTGGGCCTCACTTGTGCGAGCATCCTTAGTGCTTCGGGCCTCACTTGTGCGAGCATCATTGGTGCTTTGGGCCTCACTTTGAGTATCGTTGGGGCTTCGGGCCTCACTTGTGCAAGCATCCTTAGTGCTTCGGGCCTCACTTGTGCAAGCATCATTGGTGCTTCGGGCCTCACTTGTGTGAGTATCGTTGGGGCTTCGGGCCTCA